GGCATGAACCGCCCAATCAAGTTCTTCAATGAGATGAAGAGGATTGGTTTCAAGGTTATTGCGCAAATTTTCCTTGGTTCCACTCAGGAATCGGTTCTGTCGTCAATGGTGAAGTATTACACAGAGTTGTTCCCTGGCGTTCTTTCTATACCCATTAATCTCCCTGGTTTTGCATTCCACAAAGCACTCAAGGTAAAGTTTGCTTTTCAATGACAGAAATACTAACAAATCATCAATTGTTTATGATGTGAGACGAGCCCTGATTATGTTTTAACTTGAGACATATATTAGGCAAGAAAGAAGCTGGTAAAGACAATTCAAGCCGAACTAGATGTAAGAAGAGCGAAGAAAAGTATGGTACCTAACAGGAAGAAAGGGATGATGGACTTACTTATGGAAGTTGAAAACGAGAATGGCGAAAAATTGGAGGATGAGCACATCATTGATTTATTGTTGCTGATCTTGTTCGCGGGTCATGAAACCACGGCACACACCGCAATGTGGGCAATCATCTACCTCCATGACCACCCAGAAATGTTGCAAAAAGCCAAGGTGAGATATGAGTTTCTGTTGATTACATTTTCAGACCATTAATAATGGTCAATGCCCTCATAGAAATGGTGGTTTCTTATGCGGGTGACAATCTTCTCAAGGTTTCTGTCAAAGCCAATTCTTAGGAAGAAGCATGTGCAGTTCTGACTAATGTCATTTCATGGATTATGTATTTAATTCATATCATTTTTGGATTGTAGAGGTTCTATTTCAACTGAATTTGGATTTTTTTTCGGCTTTCAGGAAGAGCAAGAGGCGATAATAAAGAGAAGGTCATCCTCACAGAAAGGTCTGACCCTCACCGAAATCAAACAAATGGAATATCTACCTAAGGTTTGTTGTCTATCACTATTTTCAAGTTGATTTTATTAAGTGTGCATCAAACATCAAATGAACTGAAGTTTTCAATGAGCTAGAGAGGATCAAAATAAAATTCCTAGGCATATATATTGTCTAAATAAACAAGGCAACAGCATTTGATCACGGCTTGAGTTGATCTGCAAGCTGTAGTACCTAACAAGCCCTGTTGTCTTGTTTACTTCCAGGTTGTTGATGAGTCTTTGCGAAGAAGCAATTTTGCGTTCTCAATTTTTCGGAAGGTAGAAGCCGATGTTAACATTAATGGTTAGTCTCTGGATACCTTAGGTTCTTCAATTTTCCTTAATGGCTGCTCTGTTTTCGTCTCATAAAAATATGGGGTTCTCTTTTTTCCAGGTTATACCATACCAAACGGATGGAAAGTTTTGGTTTGGCATAGGGCCATTCACATGGATCCTAATATTTATTCAAACCCAAAGGAATTCCTTCCTTCAAGATGGGAGGTAAGTAGGATCAACAATAAATATTCTTTTTATTGTACACTGATCATTATAAATATGCAATAGATCATCCTATATGAAGAAGAATTTTTCTTCAATTTTCTTAATAAGAAAACAAATAAAAAAAGGCATAAAAAGGTACTCAAATAATGTTAATTTAACTGTTGTCTGTTTGTCCTAAATGCAGAACCATAGATTCAAAGCAGGGTCTTTCATTCCTTTTGGAGCAGGAAGTAGGACCTGCCCTGGAGCTGATTTAGGCAAGCTTGAGATCTCCATTTTCCTTCATTATTTCCTCCTTAACTACAGGTGAGTAATCTCTTTTCTTCGATACCTATACAAGTTAATGGACTACCATACATTTCATTTCTTTTCATTGGTTACTAAAAGACACTGCAAAATTTTTTCCTCCAAAAATTGTTGAAAGAGAAAGCATCAAACATTTCATCGGATGGGCAGGTGTTAGTGCTTTGTCTTTGGTTAATCGGAAAATGCATAATTAACATCATATACAAGAAAAATGGCTTCGATAACATGCTCCCCAGACCATGAGTGCATGAAATTTCTGACATTTTCTTTTCTTCTGCAGGCTTGAAGAGCTAAACCCGAGGGGTCCAATTAATTACCTACCCTTGCCACGCCCAGCAGACAACTGTCTTGCGAGAATCATTAAGCTCCAGTGATGCTCTCGATTGGGACCAATGACCCCTTTCCTTGCTTAACCTTAGCAAGTATTTAGTATACATGGGTTTTGGCATTGTACTGCCAAGAAAGACAGGGAGCTTGATTTTCAATTTGTTAACAAGTTTAGCAGAGTCGAGGCCTGCAGCCACACCAAGAATGTTCTTATTCTTCCTCTTCTGTCCCATTCCCTTACATATAAATGTTTTCTAGTAGGAAAATTTTCAGCAGTTGGATGTAACATCGTATTTTTGCTCCATGTCCGGTAGAGTCAAAAAAAAAAAAAAACAGTGGCATTAATATAAATTGCTTTTCGTTGGCTTAACATTTTCAACCACCTCTCTGTTTCTTGCGTTACAGGCACCGAGCAATAGTCTGTTTTATGTAAGGAGGGTGACAGGGGGTGCCCTGTTTTGTCTCCCTGGATGGTTGTGGATAAATCGGCTACCTTTTTCGCATTGTTTTAAGTTACTACATAGTTTGCCTAGCTAACAGGATTACTTGAGATAAACTTTAAATTGAAAATAAAGATGTAGTATAAGTTTTAATCAAGGACTGAAGCTAGTTAATTTGTGTTGGGGGTCAAAGATGAAGAGAAATATGAATTAAATTTTTTTTAAATTAATATGTTATTCTTAATCAATAATTAAAAGATTCATAATAAACAATAATTTATATAACATGTAAATAAAAAAAATATATAAAAAAACTTTATAATAATCTTTTAGAAAAGTTGTGGTTTTTGAATTCAAATATTGATTATGTACTAAAAAGACAATGTCTTTTTTAATATAAATAATTAAATTATCTGTGAGAAATTCATAATCTATTTTGTTTATGAGTTTTATTTTTGAAAAGATTCTCAACATAGTTACACTACAAACCAAAAAAGTCAAAACAAGTCAAATTAATATTTCGATTAATAAAAAAAATAATACATGGATAAAATTGTAAATAACAGCTAACAGTGCAATATTATAATTTATATTTAAAAATTACATAATAATTTTTTAATTTTTAAAGACTACAATCATAAAAAATAAAATCGACATAACAAAAAAAAACATAACAAGTAGAATTGAGTGGGGTTTGTAAGATCATTTTATTATTTTTTATTTATATTAATTATTAAATAAAAATTAATTTAAAAATTATTAAATATACATAATATAATAAATAAATGATTTTAAAAATTTTAAGGGCCACGGATCCGCCCCTGGTTTTAATCGCAATGGTTTTTCCATTTGTGAACTAATGGCATTATAACTTGGAAGATTAATTTTGACTTGAGAGAATGAAGCATATAATAATAGATACATGCACCGAGCAATTATGACTTCCTCGATCAACATTCTTAAGACGGAAGAAAGTAGTAAAAATAAATTATACCAGCCCATTTGTTATTTTCCAATCAATACTTAAGCCAAATTCTCCTATACAAAATTTAGTATTTGTTAAATTAACAAAAATTTAATATTATTTTTATTAGATAAAATTTGAGAACTGTTTCATTTCTGTATAAATTTTTTTTATTTTAATATTTGAAATCATATATAAACTCAAACTAAATTTGTTTCATTTTGATTTATTACCTTATTGAAAATGATATAAATACTTTTTATGATAATTTTAATTAAAATTAAAATTTATATAATTTATTTTATCAAATAAGTTTAACTTAATTTTAAAAATTATTTTTTTTATAAAAACTTTATAATAACTTTTAAGATAAAAAATTAAACCAAACAAGCTCTTAGAAGAAAAAATATACCAGCCCATTTGCTATGTTCCCATCAGTAATTAAGCCAAATTCAACAAACAACAGATGCTCTTACTTTTAGGTATTGCCGTACTGATTATTCTTAAAGAATTAGCTTCTTTTATGTAAGGAGGGTGACAGGTGGTGACATGTTTTGTCTCACTGGATGGTTGTGCATAAATCAGCTAACTTTTTCACATTGTTTCAAGCTACTACATAGTTTGCCAAGCTAATAAGATTACTTAAGATAAACTTTAAATTGACCATAAAGATGTAGGATAAGTTTTAACGAGGGTTAAAGTTAGTCAATTTTTATTGAAAGTTAAAGACGAAGAGAAATAAAGATTAAAAA